AGAAAGCGTGCAACGATGCCGAGTAATTGGCTCTGCGACTCTGTGCACCGTTTCCTGTGTGCCCCCGGGGCTCCTGGAGGCCTTCCCCCCCGCGAGAGTGCACGGCCCGCCGCGGGCTCTCGCGGCGCGGAGGGGCCCTTCCTGCCAGAGTTGAGTCGGGCCTGCCCCTCTACAGGGGGAATCTTCAAAAACAGTTTTTTTAGTTTTTGTTTGTGTATATATATATATAAATAAAAAAATCGGGGGACGATGTTTGCACTATTTGGGATCTTTGTGGAGCATGTATTCGTCCAACATGTTACGTGTTGGGGTATGTTTTGGCGTATCTTTTATTTGTCGTCCAAGAGCTGCCTGTCGCGGGGACATGCCCGACCTCCCTCCCAGAGGCCTCCGGGCCCTCGCCAAGAGCCCAGGCCCTCCAGGAGGGCTCGGCCACGCGCAGCGGGGGGGGGGGTCGGGTCCAGTCAGGCACTTGGCGTCGCTCGGACGTGTGCATTTTTTCTCGGCGAGGACCCTGGAGGAGCATCCTGGACCATCGAGCAAAAAAAACACGCACGAAACCGAAAAATGCACGGGAAATGGACGTCCGAGCGACGGCAAGGGCATGCCCCTGCACAGGAGAAATACTCAAGAAGAGTACAGGACCTAGTGGGCCCTGGAAACGACGGGGCCGTTTTTGTTACTGGGGCCGTTTTGCTGTTTTTTTTGCCGGTTCCGACGCCGTTTTTCACCGGCTCCGTCGCCGTTCTTTTCTGAGCCGTTTTTGTTGCCGTTCCGGTCGCCGTTTGTTTGCCGTTCCATTTTCAAGGAACACTTTTCCGGAAACGGTGAAAAAACGGCCCTGCCGTTTCCAGGGCCCACTAGGACACAGGATGATTCTGGTGACGATTGTCTGTGCTGTTCGGACTATACAGTCGGGGCCCTGCAGAAGGAACCCTTTTCGTTGGGGAGAGGCTCCGTGTTCCTTGATTGTTTCGCAGCTTGCCTCAGGGTTTCCTTATGGTTTCGATGGGAAATCGAAGTTTAACTTATGGAAAAAAGGGGCCTCGTTCCTTATTTAGGGTTCCTTAGGTCAACGCCCCGACTGTATATGTTTGATTAGTTGTGCGGCGATGTGTTGCGTTTCTTCCAACATCCGCCCGTTGGAGGGCATGCCAGACCTGAGGCTAGGGGCAGAGGGGAGGCCTCTTCAGAAGCACCCCTAGTTTTTTTAGCAGGCGCGGGCCGTATCTGCAGATGGGGTGGCCGGCGCCTTCAAGGAAGCGGCCAGCTGCCTGCTACGAAGAGTTCCCCCCCTCCCCCATACCGTGAAAGCCTTGAGTAAGGAACACTTACTTTTGAAAAGGGACTCGGTCGTTCCTTAGATTTGCATGCGTTCCGCTAAAAAGGGCTCGGCCGTTCCTTCTGGCTTCATGGGCTTACTTGGAAAAAAAGGGGCTTCGTTCCTTATTTATGGTTCCTTAGGTCAAGACCCTCACTGTACCCCCTCCACTTGCCAGCGGTTATGTGACTCATTGAAGAAGGGCTTCCTGAAGGTGGCCATCCCCGTCGCATACAGAGCCTGTTCCTAAGTTGGGTGAACACATGTTGGGAGTAGATTGACACGCGTGACATTCAGGAGGGTAAAACACACACACTGACACACAATTAATCGTCGGCTTTCAGAAAAGATAAGAAAATATGGGAAGTGGGGGGGAAGACAAAAATTTAGAAAATATAATAAATTATGGGGAATCCTGTCATTTGTGTCTATTCATTTGTGTGCCCCAGGGCCCCTTCAGACATGTCGAGTCGAGTCGAGGTCCAACCTCGAGTCGAGGTTTTGGGGCAGCCCTGCGAGTGCTGGAGGACTGGAGGGCTGCTCCTCCACACCCTGGGGGGTCAGGGAGGGCCCCCGCCCCACCCGGGGCCTTCCCGTGCTCAAGGCCGCGCCGGCGGCGGCCCATCCCTTTTTCTGCGCGCCGCGCGAGGTGGAAGAGGAAAAAAGGACCAGGCTCAGGGGCAACGTTCGGGGGGGGGGACAGGCCCCGGGGGGCACTCATCTTCGGCGATCGCAATTCTGGATTGGGGGGGAGTGGATCAGCGACGGGTCCCGTTTTTTACGGGAGATCGCGAGTTTCCGCCGCCGAGCGAGGCGGCACCGGCCGCATGAGAGCAGCTCCCCCAGTCCATGGATCGCTAATCCGTGCACTGCGCGCCCCCGACCATCGACGCCGAATCGCCCACTCACCGCCGACGGGGGCCCGATCGCCCGCCTCGCCCAGCAACGTGCGGACTCGCGCCAGGGGCTTGCCGCCGATCTTGTCGGCGATGCGCCGTCGGCTCCAAGACGCCGCGGTCTTCGTCAAGACGTGGACCCGAGGTCTCGACCCATCCCCCGGGACCGTGAGCCGCCGAGGGCCCCCAGGGGCCGAAAACTGCCCACAGCCTCCAGTCGCCATTTTGCTCACGACGGGGGTCAGGGGATATAGACACCCTCCCCCCGACGTTCCCCTCGCAGGCGGAGGCGGAGGCGGGGTCACAGTGGCGAGCAAGTGCGCGAGAGGAGGAGTGCGAGGCTTAGCCGCCTTGATGCTCCGGTGTTGAAGCGCAACGCGTGCCGCTTCCAACCCGTCCCACTTGAACACGGTGTGTTGGTTCGGCGCGTGTTGGCTCACTGTTCTGGGGAACAAGCACTTCTTCAGATCGGCGCTGGGCCCCCTGGCGGGGCCTCCGGCGCGACCCGCGCCGCACTCCGCGCGGACCTCCCGGCTTCTGTGCTTCCGCCAATGTTTGCTCCTGTCACGTTTTGACGAACGCATCGCGCCAGACCTACGTGTTCTACAGTCGGGGCGTTGAAGAAAAACCCTTTTTTGTTGGGGAGGGGCTCGGTGTTCCTTAGTTGTGTTGCAGCTCGCCTCAGGTGATCCTCGGGCCTTTGATGGGAAATCGAAGCTTAACTCATGGAACAAAGGGGCCTCGTTCCTTAATGGAGGATGACGATTAATAAATGACCGGGGGTCGTGTTCACGCGGCGGCGCCCGGGATGACGATTAGAAAAAACTGGCCGCGGGCTGGAAACTATCTTTTTGTATCGCTCTCCTCCAGTCCGAAAATGGTGCAGAAATAGCAGAAAACTATCCATGTTTAATCGCTCTCTCCCTTTTTTATGAATCGTCATCCCGCATTACTTGGGGTTTCTTAGGTCAACGCCCCAACGGTGTCCACGTGTGCAGCTCCGTGTCAGCTCACTGCGCGGGTGGCGTGCTGTGCGCTGGAGGAAGAGGGAGGAGGAGGAGGAGGAGGAGGAGGAGGAGGAGGAGGAGGAGAAGGAGGAGGAGGAGGAGGAGAGGAGGAGGAGGGGAGGAGGAATAGGGGAGGAGGAGGAGGAGGAGGAGGAGAGGGAGGAGGAGGAGGAGGCATCGAGGCAGCTAAGGTGCGAGGACGAGGGCAGAGCGGCGGAGGCGAGCGACGACGTGGCGCCCGCCGCCCGGCGGTCCGACGAGGAGCCGGGCCGGGCAGATTGTCAGCGCGGCCTGTTCGCCCAGGTCCCCTCCTCCTCCTCCTCCTCCTCCTCCTCCTCCTCCTCCTCCTCCTCCTCCTCCTCCTCCTCCTCCTCCTCCTCCTCCTCCTCCTCCTCCTCCCCCGGCGGTCCGACGAGGATCCAGGCCGGGCAAATTGTCAGCGCGGCCGGTTCGCCCAGATCCCCTCGCGTTGACTCAATACAGGCGGCCACCAGAAAGAACTTCGAGCACCAAAACGGTACCGAAACTCAAGGGTTTTCACGTGTCGGGCCCTTGGAGTTTTTTTGTTGGTCGGCGGGTCGGGAGCGGGCCCCTTCCGGTTAAGAGCTAGGCGGGGCGCGCGAAGCCCTAATTGGGGAGACAGGGCGCGGGCGGGCAGGGCCTCAGGCGGCCGGAGGGTTGCACAGGACAAGGTACGCCATGGACTGGAGCAGGGGGCGTGGTCCCAGAGGGAGAGAGGCGTCGACTCAATACAGGCGACCCGGATTAGTAGGTCGACCCTGCCGGATCAAGGGTGCCCTCGTGTCCTGTGTCTTGCGACCCATGCCTCCTGCATTTCTGTGGCAACGTGGCCCTCGGAAGGGTCTAATTGTGTCCTCTCGCGTGTCCTCTCCAATCAAGTCCGACTGTATACGTATACCGTATACCCCCAGTGTCCAGGGCAGGGGGCCTCAAGGGCGAACCCTGGATCTGCATGCCTGTGGCAGGGCACTTGGGTCCCTCCAAGACGCGCCTGGAGGCGCCCAAAAACCACCGTGATGGCCCAAGACGGATCCGAATCGTTGAAGAACCGCTCCAAGACGCCCAAGATGGCTCCAAGACTTGGCAAGGGACCGCCCAAGACGCACCGAGAGGCCTCCAAGAGCACTCCAAAGAGTGCCCCAACAAGCAAGAATTGCTTCACTCTTTAAGGAAAACGTGCGTTTGTAGCATATACGGCTTCTCTGCCTTCACGGCGTTGAGGACGGCCCATGGACCCCCAAGACCGCCCCAAGACAGCCCAAGAAGCGCCTCAAGAAGGCCCAATCGTCGCCCAACCGAGCCCAGGAGGAGCCCAAAGACGGCCCCCAAAGAGGCCCAAGAGCGGGAGCCCGAACAAATCCGTGGCCATTTTGGCTCAAGGGGCCCCTAGTTGGGCTCGAGCCGTCGGGCCCGCCGGCAGCGAGGGGCGCAATGGACTCCATCCCCTGCGGCCGCAGAGCCCACGAAGCCGAAGCATCCCTCGGAAAGGGCGTTCTGGCTGACGACGGCGCCCGACCCGCAGCGCGGAGATGCGCCCGTGCCCGAGGAGGACGAGGAGCGCCGGTTGTCTCAGAGCGTGAATTACCTACCCCGCTTTCGCTTCCAGGCAAAACCAAGTCATACCACGCGCCTCGTCGACAGGCGGCCTGACCAGTACGGGCCGTAGCTTGGCATCGTTTGGTATCTCTTGGAAGCGAGGGTGGTCAAAAGCGAGGTAGGTTTATTTTCCGTCTATTGTCGAAGCTTTCGTTCACCATGGATCCTGTCGTGAGCAACGGCTCGTCGCCGGTCGTCGCCATCGATGTAGGGTCAGCGCTTAGGGGTGGCGGCCGCATCTTCAGGAAGCAGCATACCGCGGCCAAGTACGCCACAGACGCGAGCAAGATTGACGACTTCTGGTCGTATAGCAGGCACGGCAACGACACCGCCCGCACGATTACGCAACTGCTGCACTACAACGGACTCCAGTCCGCCGCGGTGGGAATCCTCACTGCCGTCGTCGGCGCTTGCCTGATGCCGCTGGACTGGGTGCCAGGCAGCACGTTTGCAGGCATCCTCGTTATGCTCCTGTCGACCTGCGTGGCCTTCGTCCTGGTGCTGATCTCCGTGATTCATAGGCGCGTGTTCCTCGATTTCGCGTGCATTCCTCAAGACGACGAGGAGGCCCAAAAAACAGGGGCATCCTGAGCCTCGGCCACACCCTGAAATGTTCGGATTGCATGGTCTTGCTTTGGGACCAGACATACTGGACTAGGCTCTGGTGCGTGTTCGAGTGTGCAGCCTACTTGAAATTGCAACTCGATGGTGATGCCTCCAAGAGGATGAAGGTGTTACCGGTGCCCAACGGCATGCTGCCGTGGGGAACGTTCTTGACCATCTCGGTGATGATACTCTGCATGAAAATGTCAGCGAGCTTTTCCGGGGAGAGGCTCACAGACATATCGTTGCAAGATGCGGTGATCAGCACCTCGGCCAACACGGTCTCCGTGACCTTGTCTGTCCTCTGTCTGGCGTACGGGGGCCTCCGATACGTAAGTTTGCTGAAGGACCAGCGCATCCAGTTACAGAACTTCTCCCTGAAGGGGTCGAACTGCTTCTGCTGCGCGGTCGGGCACGTTAACCCGAAGAGCGGCGAGAGCATGGGCTGCGACAGAGTCCTGATCGAGGCGTCCGTAGTCGCTTGGTTCGGATGCATCGAGGCCTTCGAGAGCTATGTCCGCGACACCACGCACGATCTCGTCCGCGCCCGTTCGTTCCTGCCGTACAGATACTGCGTCATGGGGGCCATGCCGTGGTTCCTCTGCTCCATCGGCGAAGCAATCTGGCTTTGGAGGTCTGGCGACGTGTTCTCCGCCCTGATCTACCTCAGGCTGGGGGCCAGCGGAACATTCGTGTACGTGCCCCTGTTTACCCGCGTCGTCTTCTACTCCTTCGACATTTTTCGGCCGAGGTCCGCGATAGGGTCTCCGCTGTTCCGCGCGATATTGGGTTGCACTGCGTTCTGCGGGTCGCTCCAGTTGATCTTCTCTGCCTCCCATTGGTTTCCATACCTTTTCGTGGATTATGTCCTGTGGACAGCGGTGAACAGCATCTTCTACACCGGCATAACGGCCATACTCTATCTGTGCGACATCTGAGGGCGCCACCATACATCTCTTTCTACGTCATAGATTAAGCTCTGTACGCAGCTCATTCCGGAGGGAGGGGGTGGTGGATGGATCTCGAGTGGGGGGGGAGGGGGGGGGACTGGTCCTGCCTATATTCCACTCTCCAGAGGGTGGGATGAATCGTATTCCTTCAAGTCGATGTTCTTCTCACCATAGTCTCCAGAGTGTGGGATGAATCGTACTCCTTCAAGTCGATGTTCTTCTCACCATAGCCAGTCCCGCGTCCGATGACCCTCGTAGACCTAAAGTCAACAGGTGCGCGTTGCCTCGTCGCATGGACGCTGGCACTTTTTGCCCCGTGCCGACGTGGCACCTCGCTCCTGCAATTGGTGAGGGCCATTAGGATCGCGGTCTCTCTCTCTCTCTGCCTCTTTCTTGCTGCCTCCTCGTCATCGTCGTCTCCCTCCTGTCGTCCCCCCCGTCCCCCCTTCCCCCTGCCGAGCTCCAGCTCTGCGGCCGCTCGTAGGATACGGCCGCACGTCGCCAGGACGCATCAGGAAGCTGGCCCAGATTTCTCCAATCATCACTCTCTGGATGAGAACCATGTTCGGATGCAGGGCACCACGGTCCAGGGAGGTCGCATTCTTCCAGCTGCAGGCCACCTTTCCCGTGGAGCGGGGAGGAAGCAGCGACCTTTCCCGTGGAGCGGCAGACGCGGCGAGTCCGTGGGGCTCTTCTCGCACGGCCCGAGCGGGGTCGCCTGCGCTGCTGAGGGCTGGCCCTCGCTCTGCCGAGTGCTCGAGGGCTGTCGACCCGTCCCGCCACCGTGCTGGGCTCTGCGCCAGGGGCTATCGCTGTGTGCATGCCGGCGCCCCCCAGAATGTCGCCTGGTGGCGCCCCCGGTTGGAATTTGCGGAGCGTTCGCCATCAGTGGAGCTCGGAACAGATGGAACTTCCGCGGTGGGAAACAAACTGGCCCAAAGGGAGGCCGTCTTGCGGGCGAGCGCCGCTTGCAGACAGCTCAAAAGTGTGTCCGCAGAGTCTGGTCGCTGCTGATCCTCCCGCGCCCGTCCCATCTCACCCCTTGCCTCTTCCATGAGTTTTCGGCGGCGGTCATTCTTCAGCGTGCCAGTCGGTTTCTCACTCGCGCCTAGGCGTGTTAGGCTGACAAGCAGGGCTACTGAGTGTTCAGTGGTGGAGATTCTTCAGCGGGCCGTTCGGCATGCTACCTGCGCTCGAGCGTAGCAGCTTGCTGGGCGCCTTGCAGGCGTCGCGCAGAGAGAAAAAGAAAGAGCGGGAGCCCGAACAAAGAAGTCGAGCTTTCCGCCCCAAGATGCTCCGAGGAGACCTCCGAACGCCCCAAGAGGCCCCCAAGAGCCCTCCAAGACGCCCCAAGAAGCTTCAAAACGGAGCCCAAGAGGCTTCAAACAATTGCCTCCAAAGCGCCCCTGAGCATCCTTACACGACATCCCAACAAACACCCAACACACTTATGACCCACATCCCAGGCATACTGGCGACTGGGCCGACGATTCTCTGGAATTCGCACGAGGAGGAAAACATGAGGGAACGGAGGCTGCGGCGACATGAGGGGTAGAAAGAGAAGGAGCGTCAGGAGGAGGGGAGCTTCAGAGGACGTGTCGAATGGGAGTTGCACCCTCCAGTCGGTGTGTCAATTCCTCCGTTCCTCCTTCCATCTTGATTCCGACCTATCTTGCCTCCTTCCTCTCATATCTTCCTCCGATCTGCCTACATGTCACGCCCCCTGTTCCTGAATCCGCCCGTCTCGTCCGTCCTGCCTCCTGGCTGCCTTAGTCCTCCGCTCTGCTTCCACTCATCTCTTTCCTTCTCCATCTGCACCTTCTCGCCTGCATGGACGAGGGGGCAAGAGGAAGCAGGACGGGAGACGGCAGCCACAAAAGGATGAGTAAGGTAAGCAGGGCAGGTGGAGAGCGAGGAGTCAAGCATGATCCAGAGCGTGAGTTACCTACCCTGGTTTCGCTTCCAGGCAAAACCAAGTCATACCACGCGCCTCCTCGTTCAGCGGCCTGACCAGTGCAGGCCATAGTTTGGCATCGCTTGGTATCTGTTGGAAGCGAGGGTGGTCAAAAGCGAGGTAGGTTTGTTTGCCCCCCTAATGCTCCAGTATGGACTTCCCAACACCTGGAGCCACCTAGATGCAGAGCGCGCGCGGAGCGGGCCCGAATGTGTTTAGTGTGTATTGCATTATACAATTAAGTCGGGCTTGTCCCTCTACAGGAGGAATATTCAAGAATAGTCGAAAAATAGTCTGGGGGGCGATTGTTTTGACTATGTTTGAGCATGTTTGGAGTACTTTTTAGTATTTTTATTTTTCGTCCAAAAGACGCCTGTAGGGGGACATGCCCGACCTAATACTACAACCATCGTTAAAATCAACTTCAAACATATCTTACGTGGCTGAACTGTTTGTGGGGAGATACTGGACAGAGTAGCGATGACTGCGAGGTACTTGTATGCGCCGCCCCTCCAATGTCGGTCATCGTCGAACTTCCGAGTCGTTCCCGGTCAGACCACCGTTGCCCTGGCCCCGACATTGGAGGGGCGTCTATCGATATTGAAGGGCGCGCCGACATCGCAAGGGCGGGTTCGCCATGTTTGAGGTTGATTGTGACGAGGGTAGTCGTGTGGACCCGTGGATTTCATCCACGGAGTTGGGCGGATCGAGGTTTGGTGGCGCACGCCGGGAGTGTGCGAGGCTGTCAGCTACTGCCGCAGCTCTTTTGAAGCTTGTTCGAGCGCTCTCCCACCGAAAGCGCCCAACGCACGAATGCGGGGGCCGATGTTCGAGCGTCGCGAAAGCAAGGGATTGCAGACTCCATGCCGGAGCAGCGTTGGAAGATTCGCGCCGGGATCGCGGCGGACGAGGGAGCGGGCCGGGGCAAACGCGGCGCCATCTCGAGCCGCGTCGGAGGCGTCGGATCGGCGCCGTTGCAAAGTAAGGCTCGCGGTTTTGGGATGTTCCAAACGCGAAACTCCGGACCAAGATGCCGCTGCACATCTTGCCAGCAACATCGCATCTTTTACTCGCCGCCGACCCCGCGAAGCGACCAGGCATCGTCGTCATCGTCGTTGCCCTCGTCGTCGTCGTCCAAAAGGCAAGCATCCAGGGAGTCAAACAATCTGCTCCTCTGCAGACGCGAGCGGCCTCTCGCTGCTCGTCCGCCCCCCTCTCTCGGACACAGTTTTCAACCCTCCAGGGGGCCGCTGACGAGGCCCTGGGGGGCTCTTTTGGGTCTCGCGGGGGCCTCTCGGGGCCCACAATGGCCGTGCGGGGCGCCTCTTGGACCCTCTTGGGGCCATCTTGGGCCATGTTGGGCGCCTCCTGGGGCGCCTTGGTACCCTGGGCTGTCTTGAGCTGCGCTCGGGCCCCACTTGGGGTCCCCTGGGCTTGTCTTGGGCGCCTCTTGGGCCGTTTTGGGGCCGTCCTGAGCCATCTTGGGGCCCTCTTGGGGCGATCTTGGAGGCACCTTGGGGCCGTCTTGGACGCTCCGGCACAAGCACGAATCTGCAAGCAATGTCGTTCTTCCATAAGGATTGTGTCGATGTTTGCTTGATGGAACCCTCTTTTGGGTCGTCTTGGAGCTCTCTGGAAGCGTTTGGGGGGCTTCACGGGCGCCGAGGGTGATTTTGGGAACCGTTTTCTGTCTTTTGGAACGCTTCTTGAGGAGCTGACAGCGATTCTGGAGGCTTCCTGGGCCGCTGTTGGGCCTCGCGGAACTGGATGATTTGTGGGGGCCATCTTTGACTGTGAGAGGGCCCTCTGGAGGCCGCTGCGGGGCCGCTTTGGCGCCTAGGGGACCGGGGGACCCCCAAACCCGCCGAGCGCGTTCCACTACTCGCAAAGTTCCGACTCGCAAACGTCCGAGAAAAAAACATCTGTCTGCTCTGACGTGACTTATCCTAGATCCTCCGCGGGGGATCCAGGCCATTTGCGAGTAGTTACTTTGCGAGTAGTGGAACAAACTCGTCTACAAACCCGCCAGGCACCTCTCGGATTCGTCTGGCCTGATTTTATGTGTTCGGCAGCGCCTGCGATCGCAGGCGCGAGGGTCGGCACCGGCGGGGCGCGCTGGGTGCGGGGCGCGCCGGCGGGCGCGGGGCACGCGGGCAAATGGAAAAGAAGAGGGCGGCCGCAGGCAAAAAAAACAGCGTCGGATAGTTTCGGGGTCCTTGCTAGCACCCGGGGGCCCTCACCGGGCCCAAGGCAGTTTTTGTTTTTTTGTGCTCGGCTTTGGCAGGCTTGCCCATATCGGTCGTTGAAAGTATGCATGTTTTGGGGGGTCCCAGATTCCAATCTGCTTGAAGCGCCTTCCCACTTCAATGATCGAGTGGCTTCACCCTTATCCGTCCTCTTTCGGGGGCGGGCGGACACCCAATCTATTTTCAACGCCTTCCTACTTTATGTTGCTGCCTACTTCCGACCGATGGGTACTTGCATGAAGGAGGGGAGGGGGTTATGGCGAGGCCCGCAAGGAGATCTGCACTTCACGCAAGTCTGAACTCACGTGCGCACCTTTCCGGCCCAGCTCTGTTTGAGAAGGAGGCGGAGGGGGAGGGCGGGGCG